GTTCCCCATTGTCCCTGTTCACCTAGCCGACATTTGCAGGCGTGGCACTGTTAGTGAATTGAAAATCATACTACTACGAATCGATAAAAGTAGTTGTCAAAATTATTGTTGTCTACAGCGATTACTTTCATATTGAATTGTTGCCTTATTAATTCAGGTATAAATATTTTATAAGCAAATTATATGAATAAATAATATATAATTATTGGATAAATGTGATCATTAGATCACGAAATTTCTATTTATTGAAAGTGAAATAAAATAAAATGGCACACGTATCATACATTGCAACTATTGCAAATATCAAGTATTTTTTATGATTTATGTACGTTGTAAGTGAGTAATAAGTTCAACCCGTACGGACAGTTCCTGCCTTCCGCATTCATTAGCATTAGTTAACGTGAAAGCCGCCGGCCAACACGCGCATAACTAATTGCTGTTATCGTTCATCTTTTTCCGTCAAGGTCGCTTGAGTCTATGAATAATTACAAGCGCGAAAAACGTGCGAGAATCTCTCCAATAATAGACAGCCGCAATCTCTTCCGTAAATTGCGAATCGAACGGTGATAAAAAAAATTGCAATTCGAAACAAATCAATCAAAAAGTCATATATGATATCAATAGAATCTAATTACTGATCAATAGAATTTAAATATTACAATATACAAAATCATTTATCATTAATGAGTCTGAAGCAAAATCAATCGCGATATTATTGCGTAAATAGAAATGTAATCTGCGTGAATAATTCAACGATTGATGATGGACAAGACGGAGTATTGTCAGTATAACAGCAGCAGATAGACAGGCAGTGCATTAGCGATCGCGTGGAGCACGTTGCATTGTTATCACTCTGTCTCTTTCTTTCTCTTTCCGACCCATCCCGTTTCTTTCCCGCGTTCGATCAGAAGCTATCGACCGGCAAGAGCGAGAGCGTCCCCTGCGCCCCTCAGCGTCCCGCATTGTCAAGCAACTTACTCGTCTCGTTTCATCAGGGTCGATTTTACGCAAGGAATGGCGCAGTTGCCGCGAGGGGAAAAAAAAAAAAGATATTCTCTCCTCTCAAATGAGAGATTTCGACAACGTCCGACACTCTCAACTTGGACACTTTCTAATCTAGATTATAGAGTCGATTATACCTCCCCATTCTAGTCGGGCGCGTCTCATCCCGGATCTCGTTCCCTCTCATCCAGTTGCTGTTACTACGTTCACTCCACGTGGCGCAGGCGTGGGTTTGTTGTCTCTCCGTCACGCTCGCGCTTGAAGCTCTCGGATTGCAGCGACATACACTCCGTTTCTGTCGCGCGCGCAGACGGACTCTCCGCGGCCAGCAGCCTCCTCGGCCTCCTCGGCCTCCTCGCCCTCCTCGCCCTCTTCACGTCGTGCCACTCCGCTCCCCGCTCCCCGCCGCCGTCATCGTTAGCGACCGAAGCGGTGCCGACGGCCGCGCGCGCATTTATTGAACCGATTTCGTTCTCCGTCGTGGAGCGCGTCCTCCCATCGCTTATCCTCGCCTCTCGCGTTCCCGCTCGCCCGTTGTCATCCCTCCCTTCGTACGCTCGTCTCGTGCTGCCTCCAGCCAACCGACTCCCCCTCCCCCCTCTCCTCGTCCCTCTAACCCTCTTCTCGAGAGCTTTCTCTCATCCATTCGTTCTCCCATCCGTCGACGTTCCTGTTCGTTCTCGTATATTTGGAATGTTTCGACAAGTCATCGTTCGCCACGTACGGCACGCACGACGCGACCCACAGCGTCCATATAAATATAGCCCCGCCATCTCTCGATATCACGGGCGCACGTGACAGCAGCGTCTGGGTCGAGCGCTGTTCTGATCTTATCTGAATTTATTTTCTGAAATATATATCTCCCGCAAGAGTTACGACTTCATTTCATTTTAATGTAGCTATATAAAGCACTTTGAATAAACTCGTCCGCGATAATTTTTTACAACTTTATTTGCACATCTAATTAGCATTTATGCTTCGTTTTCATAAAGCGTGTATTAACTTATTTACTTGGATTTTAATCGGATCCAACAAAAAATATTAACAGCTCTACAATGTAAAAGAGTATGTAAAATTATGTAAATAACAAGGAAAAATTACACAATTTATAATGAAAATGTTTGAGAAATTATGCGTTTTTACAAAAATTAGTATTTTTAGCTCTAATCGTGTAAATATATCTTTATATATTAAACGAAAAATTACAATAAGAATAATAATAAATTAATAATTAATAATTTCTGTGTAAATGTATAAGTTTTTATATCGAATAACATAATATATATATATATATATATATATATATCACGAATATTATATCTGCATATGTATGTTTATGTTCGTAAATATCAATAACATAATTTTTAAAAAATCGTACGTAATTCGTTGTCGAAATAATATGTAAATGTTTCTGTAAACTTAACTTCATTATAAATTTGTTTTTGCGAATTGTTTAAAAAAAGAATAATTTTATTTATAAATTGTAACTTTACATTGTAAATACATCTTCAATAGTGGGTCCCAAAATTACTCACTATAATCATTGTAATTTTACATGTAACTTTTTTACAGTGTAGAGTAAATTTTTGGGAATTTCGATGAGATGGCTTCCAGCGACTTGACCGCTGGAATTGAAAAGAATATATAAACACCAATTGTTTCAATCATCCCATATAACTGTTTGAATGAATCTCTAATTCAATATTAAGTTCCCGATTTATTTAAATATTTCATAAAAGTCTGAATAACGATAGATTAATTGTATGTCAACCGCCAAAATGCTAATAGTCATGCAAACAATCTTTTATAAACGATTTTTAATAGCATAAGATTTTGAATGAGCTCTATACATACTGCGTTTACATATGAATTGAATATATAGATTGAAGTTTTGTATTCGAAAGTTGATCCAAAGTTCTCTCTCACGCGGCGTAATTATATGCATTCGCGTAAACGTGTCTCTTACAGTCATCGCGACAGTATATGGTAATGGTAGTATACGATGACCAGGATCGATCGTTCGTCCCGGGAACTAGCATCTACCATGACGTCATCCGACGTCACCGGTCTCGAGGGGAATGTGGAGGCGAGAGCCTCCATCATCGGTGGAAGCGCGCCATTCTCCACCTTTTTCCCTGCGCGTTAACGCACCGCGTGGACGCAGCCGGTGATGAAATCAAAGCGATTCGAGAACATTCGATACGACAAAACTATTCGCGTTTATTTTCACCGGGCCGGTATAACGAGAATACTATCCAAATAGACGAGCGGATGGCAATACCGGTTCTCTTCCTTGGAAAGTTATAAAGTGAAGCTGGTGTGACGAAATTACTGGCATTACAGATTAGCAATTTCTTCGAATTGGCTTTACAGAATTGAAAATTTTTTGCATGTTTAAAATATATGTATACGAATAAAGATTCCGGGATATTCAATTTAAACTTAAAACCGAAAAAAATTAAAGTATTACACATACAGAGTGAGAGCAAAAAATATTTGTTTACAAGAAAAACAGTCTTATTTGTTTATTTAAAAAATAAACATCAATTAGCAATTTTATACAATGAATGTATTCTATTTTAACATAAACAAACGAACTTCGCATGTATTTCTGATTTTAGAAGCTAAATTTCTCGATTGTACGAATATTTTTTAAGCATCCAAACAATAGAATAATTTTTAGAAATTTTTATTTTCGCTTATTTTTGAGATGATACATTTTCTATAATTAATACATCTTTTATATAATTATATATAATTTTAAGAAACATACAGTCTATTTTATTCTTTATGAATAAATTGTTAATTATCCAGCAAGAAAAGATCGTCAATTAAACGTCGAATCGACGTTTCAAATTGGTATTGAAATTATATATATATTGGGATTGACATCGTATTGATATCGATTTGATATCAATTCGATGACTCATGTCTCGTTGGATAATATTTACTTTTTAAAAATAAAGTTTCTTTAAAAAAATATTTTCTCTGTACGAATACTTTTTGTACTCACTGTATAATTTTTTCTATTTTTTCCATTTTTAAGTTTGAGTATTCCAGATTTTATTTGTGTGTATTTTAAACATGTAAAAGGGTTTTCAATTTCATAAAATCAATTTGAAGAAATTTCTTTTATCTTACGAGTCGTAATTCGTATCTCTCAAGTTATAAGAAATTAAGCAATCATTGTTGATTATTCTCATATTCGACAGTGATTAGTCACTTTCTTACGACTTTATGTAGAAAACCTATTAGATTACCTTAATGTTGACAATCTACTCGGAAATACCGGCTTCGACGCCCCGATTTCCGCTCCGACTCCGCTCCTGGCATACGCCTGCGCACCAGGAACATACATATACATACAAATGACTCACCTGTGTAGCGAAGACCCTCGTGGTTCATCATGCGGCGGGAAGGGCGACCGTGGTTTGACTCTCTCTCTCTCTCTCTCTCTCTCTCTCTCTTCAGCTGCAGCTGCATATGGCCAAGACCTAGGGCACGCTTCGTCGATGGCAAACGTTTACGTTCCTTCTCCGTCCCCTTTCGTTTCGCGTCGTACCGCACCGTGTCGGCGAACTCGTGAGCACAATTATGCGACACGACGTCACTCATGCACGAACACCATGCACGAACACCATGCACGAACACCATGCATTTTCCTCTCTTCGTTCTCCAGATCTCCCCTTCGCCTCGCCTGGCCGCGCATTGATGCTTTTGGTCGTCGTGTGTTCCTCGTCTTCAGGAGATTCTTAGATACGTCTATATGGAAAAGAACCAGGCTCGATTTCTGAAACGAGATTTTATTTATAATAATTTGGAAACTAAATCCCGATATTGAATATTATTATAAATTTATATCGTACAATTAAATTTCTTTTCTTTTTTTTAAATTTATTTCAGACTAAATATAAAGGAGCAATGGTAACCCAATCCATGAGTTAATTAACATTTTGTTGTTTTTAATTTCCACGTGTGTCAAAATGTAAATCAATCCATTTCTGTGGTTAATTTCAAAATAACAATGTCCATATTAATGTATGCACTTAATAAATAGTAAACTAATTTTGAGCCAAATTTGATACATTTTCTTGAATTATTGAGTAGTGGCGTCCTATAGAAATGATTCAAAGCATAACTTAAATTCAGTATAATTTGACATTATGAATTTAACAGTGTAATTCGTCTGTTTACATAACGTCTAGCTATTCCTTCGAACATGAAGGGACCTCGGCGCTTCCGCAATACCTTTGCATATAATTTTGCGAGAGTTCCTAGAATATATATCGCGTCGTGCGGTCGCGACATAGGTTAGATATATTGTCTGTGTATCCCGCCGGATCGTACTAGAGACGGTTAATTAATCCTATGTCCTATAGCTCCGCGAAATTATTATTAGACATGATGGTGGTATGTGATACGAAACGGGATCCCGACGGCATCGCGCGAAACGGCTTTGAGAATCGACGAAACGCACGCATCGTTTGTCGCCATTGCTCCGAAGGCACGTCGTCGCACCAATTTCTCAAGATTGACACAATTCAGGAATTAATCATACGCGAGTTTCATTAGCTTGAGGCAATAATGTGTTAAATTGCGCGGCAGCGAATTGTGAAATTCTCCGTTCATCTTTGAAAAGATATTACAATGCTGACGTACTTCTTTCATTAACAAAGACAAACAGAAACAAATATTTTTAAAATTTTATGTATTTATATATTATAAAATGTTTAAATATATAAATGTTATATGTATTTATGTATATACATCTCATCAAGAATCAATTAAATAAAATGATAAATGTAATAATAATGATGGGTATAATTTATTCAACGTGCTGGAATCTACTATCTCAAGCACAAAACTAACTAACATAATTATAATTTACAAATATTATATTAATTGGCAAAAAAATGTATAGCGTATACATATTGATTACATGTAGTTTAACATAAAGGTACTATATTATTACACACAATTGTGATTTTCATTTATATTGTCATATCGTGCAGATTAGTGTTCGGAGATATCAAATAAAGATAACATTTACTTTATCGTATTATTGGAAAGTAGAACTTTTAGTTATATTTTCGAAAGTTAAAATTACTAAGCGCGGCATTAAATGGAATATAACCATTTTCGAATCATTGTGCTATTTTGTTGAAAATTTAGCTTTCTGTAAATGCTCGCGAATTTCATCAGTCAGCACCAGAATTATCACACAGTTTGCATAATAAAAAGCGTATGTACAAGGAAAGAAATGCGAGTCGTTGAGAAGACGTTATCGGACGTTTATCGGACACGTTCGTGAACAGTGTGACGCCAACACGTATTGATAGATGATTTCACAGCTTGGCCCACAAAGAAGTTTGTGCGACGCAATAAAAAAACTTCACTTAGCGAGCACTAAGTGAGCCAGAGGACTTCGCGGACGCGAATTGGTGCGAAATCGGCTGAGAAAGAAAAGACTAAAATCACTAGATTTATGAGCTACCGCAAACACTCTCTCTCCATCATTTTAACCGCGGCATTTCAAATTTATGTAAGGTAAATCGGGAAGACGTCACACTTAAGTCTTTATTCTTGAATAACTTCTTAATGTTATTGAATTAATCTACAAAAAATATTGTGTTTATATTCTAGAAACCTTTTTTTATTTAAACAAATTAATAAATTAAACTTTTGATTTTCATATTATTGGAAAAAATAGATATATCATGTCCTACAAAAATGGTATCTTCTCTTTACATATATGGCTAAGATATCATTTCCTATGGGAGAAGATATCACAAGCAATTAAATGATGTAATGTAATATAAACTTACAATTTTACTTACCCAAGTAGAATAATAAGTCACGATAACGTCAAAATGACGTCTAAAATGACGTTATCGTGACTTGTTGTTCTACTTGAGTATTTACAGTCCGTAATCAAGAGTTTAAGCTATAAAAGCGTTTAAGTTACAAAGGTATGATAAATTGAGGAAATATGAAAGAGAGTAATTTAGGAATTAAGTTGGACATATTTTTATTCATTTAAGCAGCATTTCATTAACTTAAAATATTTCGAATCATATAAAGTATCAAAAATTTTAATTCATAAAATCGTTTGATGTCATTGCGGTACTTTATAAATCTAATGACTTTAGAGAGGACTGACCGAGGGTAGCGATGGATCGTGGAAGAGAGGAAGTCGTGAATCGGAACAGAACGAAGGCGGCGCGGTTCTGAGAAAAATTCTACCTTGTGAGAAGTTGGCGAGAAAATGGGACGAAGACGCAAAGACGGTAGACCGGATTTAGAGATGCTTTGTTGCCCCTCCCTCGAAAAAGAGTCGAAGTAGAGAGGATACGCGTCGCAAAGATATGAGATGATATCAAGTGCATGCGATCTCGCTTTATGTGCGCAGTACCTCGCGATAATCGCGATTGGAACTTTCGCGATAATATAGCGGCACAGTGATAGTCTTCCACGAAACGCAGGATATCTCGCGAGTGAATGACGATTGAAACTTCCGCAATAACGTTAATTTAATTTTTATCAAGATGAATTTCTCTTTCCACATAGTATTAGTGAGAAAGTGACTTATTCAAAAATTATTGTTCATCATTTTTTTCTCTAAAAAAACGTCGATCTATCGGAGAGTGACATCACGTGTAAATCTATTTTTTTTTTAGATATTCTAGATAATAGATACAAAATAAAATTTCTTAACAAAATGCAGACAAATATTGTATATGCAGCATATTTCAAAAGATGCGAGTGAAATATAATATCGTGAAGTGAATAGAAAGAGCTGCACCATTTTTTATCCAGCATCCGGCAAGCGAGACATTTTGAAAATTTATTTGTGTTTGTAGCTAAACTAGTATATTTACATTCGTACTAAAAATGCACTAGATGCATATTTGAAGTTTGGTGAAAGCGAGAAAGAAAAGTTTTAATGCAGTCTGCACTGTTAGATATCAAAGAAGCAATAGTAACTCAATCTCTTGAATTAAGTAATATGTTATTTTTGACTTCTATGTCAAAATGTAAATCAATCTATTTCTGTGGTTAGTTTTAAAATAAACAACAATGTCTATATTGACGTATGCACTTAGAAAACAATAAACTAAATTTGAGTCTTTAATGCATTTTCTTGAGTTAAATCGTTTAACTCTACTGTTTTAGTTAAATTAACGATATACTGAGTGAGAATAGTAGCGACCTATAGAAATGATAAAAATAACTCGAATTAGGTACAATTTAACATTATAAATTTAACAGTGTAGTGTAGCAAGAAAACTTATAGTTTAGCTATAACCTCGATAACACTGAAGTGTCATATAATTAATACGTTCAAGACTTGATATTATCATAAAACTTAACAAAAAGTACTCTACACTATAATTAAGTTTTCGTACTCTATAGCAAACCAATTGTTCTATAGATTCGCGTATCTTTGAACTTTTCAATAAGTTTTAGATTTTAGGTGAATTCGGAATTATACGGTTGATGTTTGTTAAATCCATATTGAAGATTCAGGATTGTGAAATGAAAATTCAAACAATCAGAATGAAATGCGTTAAAATTAAAATTATCTGATTGGTCAAATTCTAATCTCTAATTCGCAATTTCAGTCTTCAATGCGTATTGTGACACAGACTTCAGTTAGATCAGTGCTATCCAAGATTTGTAATTCTGGAAACTTATTAACGGTTCTTAAAGCGAGGTGGAACTTACAAAGGTTAAAGCGAGCGAATTTACTAGCAAATTTATAACTTGATCAATACTTGATGAATTTGAATACTCCTGAAATTCTCACTTAATCTTAAAAATCGTAAGAAGCTCCCAGTGGCCCTAGTATCTTGATGTGTGATCGATATTTCATTAAAAAAAAAAGAAGACAATAGGTATAATCAGTACAATGAATACCAATGCGTTAGATCGTTGTTTGCAATTCCAAATCGTGGACAGTGTTGAATTGGATAATCAAACATATTCAAATCATACAAGAGTTGCGTCATACGATTCTTAAAAGTGACGCGTCACAACCTAGGAACTAGTTTTTGTTTTCGAGAAAAAAGAAAGATCATTTCCTTACCAGCGACACGGTCGTGCGTCGTAATTTCATCCCTGGAGACGAAAGGACGAAGGTAGGAGAGAGCTCGCAAGTCGCGCGACGAATGCCAGTGAGGTGATTCCGGGAAGGGGAGATGGTAGCGGGAGCCTCCGTGGCGCACGTGTGTGTGTGTGTGTGTGTGTATATGGCCACCGCGAGCGAAAGAGGGGGAGAGCGCGAGGGAGAGACAGTGGGACAGATAAGGACGGAGCGCGCGGCGTACATATGGCGTACATATGGTGGGACTGCGCGAGCGTGTATAAGTGAGGGAGGCCGTACGCGGCGGGAATCGTCCCTCTTCGTACTCCGTAGTACTACGCGGGACGCTACGCGAGAACGGCACGGTTACGTTTACCCATCCCGCCGATGCTCCGTGGCTGGGAGTCCCGAGCCAGAGAGTGACGCCGTTGACCGTCCATCGAGTCCGTTCGCGTTTTTATAGACGCGCGTCGCGCGACCGTTGTGACGTTTTCCTCCGAGAGAGGCAACGTTCGTGGAAACGGACTCGACGCGAAAAGACGCGGGGCTGCATTCCGGCCGTTTGCGAAGTGAAGCGGGTGTGCGCGGCGCACTTCGTTACGCTTCGCTCTCCCGTGTTTACGTTCGGCGTCCGCGTGCTTGCTGTCCATCCGTGCTTACCTTACATTCCAAAAATTCGAAGGGCGGTAGAAGGGTGAGGCGCGGTGAAGGGAAACCGTTGGACGGACCAATTTACTACTACGTGGAAAACTGACCGCGATCGGATTTTGGCAGTCTGGCGCGAACGAAGACGCGAAGTTCGCCGGGAGACGGGACTCGGCTGAAGCTGGCTGAAATTGCCGCTTGAAGCGTAGGAGCAACGGCGGGCCGGTCTGCCCCGCAGCCCGCAGGTCCTCGGCAACTCGGCAGTTTTCGGCAATCGTCGCCGCAGCGCCGCGTCGCGTTACACCACGGTACGAAAAATCATAAGGGTTAGTTGACCCGGCGCGCCGTCGCGTCATGTTCGTTCTCGTTGTGACTCGTTCTTATTTAGCGACAGTGTGATTTGCGTGGGAATAAGCATCGCGCGCGCGTAGTGTCACGGCTTGATCGATGCACGTGCGAGTGTGATAATCCCCCGAAAATCCTATACGTCACGTCGGAATTACACGTGAGCGCGCGTGGTGTCACGGCTGTGAAAACGTGTGCGTGTGTGATTGTGTAAGTGTAGGCGAATAGCGCAAAGTGCGTGACGCTACGTGCACGGAGCCACGTGTGGCATCGCGTTCTCACGTCAAGGCAAGGTCGGACGCGACTTGGGGCTCTCGATTGGATACAGGCGCCGAAGGAGAGGTAGAACCTTCGTTTCCTGGAACGCGACGAACGCGATCAAACGCCTCGGGGGAGATTCGAGACCGAGAGACGTTCGTGCGGCGAGCCTGCGCGCGCGACGTGAAGTTTGTCGCGTACGCTTGCTATCTCGCGCCGTTTGAATTCGGAATACGCGAAGAGAGAGAGAGAGAGAGAGAGAGAGAGAGAGAGAGAAGGGGGGGAAACAGGTAGAACGAACAAACGACAGTTTGTTCTTGCGCAATTTAATTCTCGCACTATTCCGTTCGAGCAATTCTGATTCATGCGATTTCTCGTCATAGGCACGTCTACATGCATACGGTGAGTTCTGACTGAGTCGTAAACAACGTCGGTGCAATGACCACTGCAGGGAGCTCGTGAGTCTTCTCTTCTACCAACTACGTAGTAACGCGTAGTAGAGCGTACGATCCCCCGACCCGACATCTCGTTGGGACACCACCAACATTGCGCAATCTTACGAGAACATGACACGGCGTGTCATGTCCCTCGCATTAATCGATTAGAGATTTTTGCGACTTTCGATATTGTGAAATTGAACGTTCCACTCCAATTTTATCCCGTAATTGGCTATCGATTAACTCGACACGCGCCACTCCGGAATTGAAATGACGCAGACCGTTGAACCGTTGACATTAGAGATCGAGTTCGGAGTTTATTTTAACGCGACCTTTCCCTCTGTTGTCTCTTTCGTTTCCACGTAGTGGGAGGCAAAAAGTCAAATTTTATCTCGACGAGATAGGATATATCAAGAGTAAGGTGACCAACTCCTTAAGAAAGGAAATAAGGTGGGTCATTTCACAAAAAATGTAATATTAATTGTCGTAATTAAATTTTAATAGATAAACATTTTTTATAATTGCTAATAATAAAACACATGAACAATATTATATTATATTTGTAAATAATAACATTTAATGTATCACATAAAATCACATCACATAAAATCACAACAAAAAAATTACATCAAGTTACGTCTTGCGAGATCATATGTTTATTTTTTCAATTGTACTTTTCTACTGAACGTATTTTACGAATAATATATCTAGGTTTTGATATAAAAAATCTTAAAATTCTTTATTCGTTAATTGAAAATAATTTTATAATATATTTATTATTCTTACGTATTATTTCGTACTTATTATTTTCACCTGCATTATTTTATTTATTGTTTTCACATTTAAAATGGGGATACTTCTTAATTATGTCTTTAATTTGAGACGAAATTTGGGACTGTTCTTTCTAATTTGGCATGATTAGTCACCTTAATCTATATATACGGTGACTATATTTTAGAGAAAATAAAGAATAAACTTGAAAATGTTAGACTTTATTCCTAAATATTTTGAAAAAGTTCGTGACTATCAGAAGTCTATACATTAATATTTGAAATTTTCTTATGAACTTTCTAATCAATTGCGATTCATTTTGACGTCATTTTGATGTTATTGTGACTTTATTGTTCTGTTTAGGAAAATAATTGCCCTTGCATAAAACTAAATTTGTCAATAGTTTCTGTAAAAATTTGCTCATTAATGCATTAGTCATTGGAATGCTAATTGAAAAGGAATTTCCCGTAGTATTATTAAAATAAAAAAAAAACAGATAGGAAAAGAAGGCCCTAAACGATCTGGATCTTTCAGTATTTAAATAATTCGGTGTAAATTTATATACTACATAACACTAATCTTGCAAATTGTGTGTCGAATTTAATTTTCAGTTTTGAAATACAATCCTAGAACAGAATTATATAATTATTAATATAATTATTAAAATTAATTGTACAAATAAACTATATAAAATTGTTCTAAAAAAAGAAAAAATTTAATTTAAAGAATAATTACTTGAAATAAAGGACTGTTATCCTTTATGTCCTTTATATAATAAAGAGATTTGTTTGTATTAAAATCCCTTAAAATTTTTGGACTTAAAATAAGAGAGAATATATTTGAATTATATATTGAAAAGAGAGAAAGCGAAGATGTGTTGAGCGCAAAAAGTGCAAGCAATGCGAACAGAATCAAAGTGTGTGTATGGGCACCATAGGTATACCACGCGTATATATAGTTAAAGCCGTTATACTCGACGCTAGAAATTGTGCGACGCAGGCGGCCTGCGTATGACGCAGTTATCTTCACTTTTCATAGGTCGTACGCAGTGAGTGACCGGGAATGTCGTCAATCGTGCGTGTGATTTTTAGATACGGATTCACACGTTCAAGAATGCGCCCTCCTTTATGTGCTGCGTGTCATGGCGTGGGAGTCGATGATTTCGTGCTGGCTTTAATTCACACGCGTGCGTTCTCACCCGCATGATATCTCTGCGTATGTTTCGTGTGACGTAGCATTTTTCCGAATTCGCACCCAAAATAATGATGGAAATAATGACGCGTTTAAAGAGCGGTAAGATTATCTATATCTGATTAGTAAAAAAAACTCATTTTGACGTCATTTTGATGTTATTGTGACTTTGTTTTTCTGCTTGGGCTAATATTGCCTTTGTATAAAACTAAATTTGTAGTTTCCATAAAAATTCTCTTATTAGACATTGGAATGTTAATTAAAAAGAAATTTTTGGTAATATTAAAATAATATAAATTTATAAAAAATGATCCGGGGACGGAAGCAGAAGGGATAATTTTAATTTGCGTTAAATTAGATATTTGACAAAATAAAATTTCTAGAACATAATTTTTGCTAACAGTTCTTATTAATATAAATTTTATACTATTTACCTATGTAAAAGTTTAATTAATAACCAGAAATTTTACGATTTTAAAAAGAGTATATGTATTTTTTTAAATATAATAGTACGGCTGATGATCTTATAACGATGATATGGCTGAAAAAGCTGTAGCATTCGTGTTCCATTATATATTAACAAGATCTTTTTTTATCGAACCACGCGAATTTTAGATTCACGTTCTCCTCAATTTTTTAAATTCTTTTTCTTAAGCGTAAAAACACATGAAAAACAAACAAAAGGTTATTCTCGAAGAAAATCTCATACGAAATATTGGAGAAATCTATGGTATTATATATATAACATATACTGTAGTATTTTTTAGTATCTTTTCATGTGCTATATTTTTCGAGAATACAGTTCCTGTTCGCATTACTTGCACTTTTTGTTTTGCTCTCATATTTTAAATTCACAATGTTAATGTTATACCTAATTTGAGTTATTTTTAATCATTTCTATAAATTTACGTCTACTTATGTCATTAATTTAACTAAAACAACAAAGTTAAACATTTTAATTTAATTAATTATATACTAAGTGCATTCGTTAATATGAACGTTGTTTACTTCGAAACTAATCACAGAAATGGTTTGATTTACATTTTGACACACAAGAAAGGTAAATATGTTATTTAACTTTAAAGATTGGATTGCCTTTGCTCTTTTGATATCGAACAATGCAGATCTTCACTTTGTATTTTTTATCGGAATATATATTTATCTCGTTAAGTGCAAAAATTTTTGAGCATTTCAAGCAACGTGAACATATCTTTTCAAGCAACATGAACAAATTGTATTATTTATGGAAAATCCTTGGCAATGTATTTAACTATGTACATGAATAAATGTAATTTTAATTGTTTTCCTTAAACAACATAACAGTTAACTTGACACTTTGAATGCTTTTCATTTGGTGGAATAAATCAATGTAGATATTATTCTGTCTGTTATTCACAGAATGTTAAGAAAGATAGAATGATGTTTGTGTCGACTTGTGTCACTAAATGGAAAATATCCTTCGTGTGTTTTTATTTAATTTTCGTGTTAAATCTATAAATTATAATTATTAATTAGTTCTCCGTCGGCAAAGTAAAATTTTCACCTTCACTCGCTCAATCTGAATCTTTGAACTTTAGTATTAATTTTTATAAAAATCGCATGGAAAGCAATTTATAAATAATATGGAAAATAAAATGGAAAAATTCTTTTTTACTCTAATTCGAAAAAAAATCACATACTTGTAAAAGATTTTCTTTTTTATTATCTTAAAAGTTGGATTGTATTTTATTTATTTTTTTACAGATTTAAATTTATATACCAGAACTCATAATAAAAAAATTGACTGTGCCTTAAAAAGAAAAGTTCAACATTATCGGCGTAGGATTAATAATTCGCAATCTCACAAAGATCGAAGGCGTCGTCATGAAACGCGACTCGCTCGAATCAAGTTGACGAAGCTGGCAAAAACTGTACGCTTATTCAAGCGATTGGAACGAACCCTCGTTCTCAGAACACAAGAGTGTACGAGACTCCTCGAGAAAAAAAAGTAGGGAGATAATCAAACACAGCACGGGTGGCCTTGTATTTTATTTCGATTGAAGTGAGTTCGTCATTTCGAGTCTCTTTCAACCATCCTGACAATTTAATAGTTTTGGTTGCTTCATGAAAATTTTATTCAATGCTTTATATTGATCATTGGATATAATTTGATTGGTCTTTAATAATCACCAGACGACCCTGACCGATAAGAGATATCTATATTGCAAAAGTGATACCAAGAAATTAACATTATTAGTCGAAAGACCATATTTGAAATAGTTATTCTAGATGATCAAATCTCAGAATCCTATAGATTCTATGCCCTAATTGGACTGGAATATGTTAGCCATAATTTTAATTTAGATATCAAAGTGTCTTGAAAACAACGCATTAAAAAAATGTTTTAAGTAAAAGTTGTAGAGTTTGAAGAAGGCTATCAGATGAGTTACTTAGATTTTGGATTCAGGGCTCACTTTGAGCTCAATAAGAAAAAATCTGAGTCTTAATACAAGCAGTTCATCTGATGTTTTTTTTCAAACCTTATAACTTTTATTTGAAACATTTTTTTTTAAATGCATTGTTTTTGAAATTTTTTGATGTCTAAGTTAAAATAGCCAATATATTCCGGTTTAAGTCGGATATAGAATCCATAGAGAATTTCAAGATTTGATCATTTAGAACACCTACTTCAAACGTAATCTTTCGATTGGTAAGTTAGTTTTCTGTTGTCAGTTTTGTAATATAAATCTTTCCAAAATGATTACAAATATGGTATACATATATAGTAAACATGTAAATATATTGGGTCATCTAAAAAGTATCCGCGGTTTTTTGTCACTAGATGTGTGTTGATGGTCATATATCTAGTGACAAAGTACCGCGGATACTTTTTAGATGACCTAATATATACAGGGTGGGCCATCTATTGGTACGTTTTTGAATTTCGTCGTATGGCAACACCGAACGAGCTACAGACCCGAAATTTTGACAGTTTATTAGTCATACCGTCCGCGGCACGAAACAACATGTTTTCTCTTGAAGAGCGTTTTGAAATTTTAAAAACTTATTTTCAAAGTCAGTGCTGTGTCGCCGAAACTGTACGAATTTTGAAAAGAAATATGGGTCGTGATAGAGCACCCACCGAAGGAGCTATACGCAAATTGGTGAGGAAAGTTCGTGAGAAAGGGATGTTAGTGGATGACATTATATTACGACTGTTTTGAGTGAAATTGGCGCCGAGGTAGTCCAAAATGTCATTAATAATTGGGGTGACCGAATGGCATACTGTAAGGCCAGTAGAGGGAGCCACATGAACGAAATCGTTTTTCATTCTTGACGCGGATACTTTTAGATTCACCAAAAAAAAAAAATTAATAAAAAATATCAATGTATGCTCATTTGATCGCATTTTTAAAAACGTACCAATAGATGGCCCACCCTGTAATTTATATTGAATTATTTAAAAATAAAAAATCCAGCTTCGATCGTCATGAATCTTTAATTCCTATTTCTTATTGGCTGTGTTCTCATAGGTACGATCTAATAAGATTCTTATTGT